ATGTGTGAAAAGTGTGTTTGAAAACGAGTCTGATTGCAGGCCTCTTTGCTGGTTGTGCAAGTAAGCGCTTCGCTTTCCAGATTGCGCCAGGTGTTAGGAGCCGAGGTACTGCTCCCTGCCATAGAGCAGAGGCCAGAATCTATCTAGCCCATAACCTTTAACGCTCCATGCTGAGATAACGACATATAGGTAGGGACGGGTAGGTAGTGGGAGGTGTATTGAGAGAAGAATATAGATTAGTTAAAAAAAAAAAAAAAAAAGAATGCCCGGAAGAAAGCGCGAGGGTGTATAACTTGCCGTTGGAATAGGAACTGGACTGTTGCTACCCATCGATATGGAGCCAAGGCCATTAGGACCTTTTTTCGTTTGTCTTTTCTTGTCTTGTCTTTTCTTTTCTTGTCTTGTCTTGTCTTGTCTTGTCTTGTCTTGTCTTGTCTTGTCTTGTCTTGTCTTGTCTTGTCTTGTTTTGTTTTGTTTTGTTTTGTTTTGTTTTGTGTAAAGACAGAGAATGCGACCGGTTATTATCGCTGTATGATCTGTATCTATGGTGAAAGTTGGGCAGAATTCAACTTAAGGGAAAAAAAAAAAAAAAAAAGGTTGGAAAAACAGCTTTGTTTATGGTGAAAGTTGGCCGGAATACAACTGGAAAAAAAAAAAAAAAAAAAAAAAACCGGCTACGATGAATGACAGGGCGCTCTGTTCGGTTGAAGATGCTAGGTGGTCCTCTAGTCTCTGCCCTAATTGCGGACACTGTCCAGGGGAATCCGCCTCTACCAGGCTGCAAACATACGTCCTCGAGAGTCCTCTACTTAGTAGGAGTATGCCGGAAGCGGGAGAAGTGATCTGCTCACCAACTAGCCTACCGTAGCTCAGTTGGTACCCCACTGAGCTATTGAAATGCAGACCTGAGTTCCAGCCACTAGTCGTTGAAGCATGGCGTTTTTTTTTTAATTTTTAATCTTTTTGTTTTGGCAACGAAAATATGAATGTATGTTGATGTGCCGTGTGTTTTGGCAATGGAATTTTTAAGTATTGAGAAAGAAAAAGGTGGCGTGTTTTATATTTTTGACCATAGTGTATTGTATTTGATTGTGTTGTGTGTGTGCATGATGCAGTTCAACAAGCTTAAACCAGAGGCAAGAGAGTTCATTCATGATTTGCAAGATCTAGTGAGCTGAGCAGTCATTGTCCAACGTTTAAACCAGGCTGTATTTTCAGCCAAAATGTGAGATACCTTCCTCTTGTTGCCCCCTCAAAACAGACCCGCTGTCTGTAAGAGGGGGGGTGGGGAGGGGGAGACGGGGCACACATGAAGGCTGCAAACCTGCACCTTTCTTCGCGTGCATTGCAATTCAAATGCAGATTACAAGCACGAGCGAGCGAGCGAGAGAGAGAGAGAGAGAGAGAGGACCTCGAGCTTCAGGGGTCTGATTGACGACTTTGGTCACGCCTTGGGCATAATCATGTGGACCACTGATAAGGCCCATACAGAATTTTGAACATATCCTGTTTACTGTTTTCTACTGTGCTGAGAAGGGACTCTCTCTCTCTCTCTCTCTCTCTCTCTCTCTCTCTCTCTCTCTCTCTCTCTCTCTCTCTCTCTCTCTCTCGGGAGGCTTGTGACGTCGAAAGACTGCAAAAGTTAGTGTTGCACTCAGACTCGCTTTCACTTCCACTTCGCATACATGCAAATAGACGGGGACAAAAGTAAGTGTTGCAATCAGACTCGCTTTCACTTCCACTTCGCATACATGCAAATAGATGGGGATTCACACTGGCGCACGGCGCCCACAGCAAGCTCAGAGATATGGCAACCAAGAACACAGTTCAGATGTAAACTCGCTTCAACAGACTATGGCGCGTCGGCACCTGTACATCACAACACTCGTCACTGTGTTCAACACCACCGTTCACCCACACACACTCACTCGTACACGCTCACTAACCTCTAACACTACAGCGGCTATGGCCGCTCTACTTCTACTGACTATGACTACGTTGTCTCTCTTCAGCCCACTTCATCTTCGGGCAACCTGCAGACCACCTTCGCACAAGACGCTGTAGCAGCGCTTCCGCATGGCTTACGCAGCGAATGAATGAATGGCTGGGCGGTGCCTCTTGATTTATACTTCTGTAACTCGTTGGTCTGCCCCTTTCCATCGGCCCATGGTGCACAGTCCAACACGGTACCTTACTTGACTGGACTCCGACTGACTGGGATTGGTGCCGTAAGTGGATGGGTTTGCACTGCCAACTCGATGCGGTCGCACTGCCGACGTAACGCAGTTGGTTCACCACTTCCCGCACTTGCCTCTGACTAAACGTGAGACGCTTCGAAAGGCCACTTCCGTACCTTCCGGAAGGCTGTGGACTTGGCCTTTCGGGTACTGTAGCAGCGACGACCTTGACCTTTCAGGACTGTAGCAGCTACGACCTTGACCTTTCAGGACTGTAGCAGCTACGACCTTGACCTTTCAGGGCTGTAGCAGCTACGACCTCTACAGAGCTGTGACTCCCAATCGACAGACCTACAGAGCAAACCCCTACTGCTACACAGACCTACGACAGACGACAAACAACTACCAAAACACAGATCACGGGTTCAAACACTCGGGGGTCGACTCAATACTGTACATGGGCAAAGTGAGGTCTGGGGATAGAACTCTAGGGCCTGCATCTGTGACTGCAGAAAGGTGAAAACCGTTTCAGTGTTGTTTCATTAGCTTTGGAGCGCTCCTACTAAGAGCAACAAAAAGATAGCTGCACTAACTGGGGAAAAGAGAGAATTTTTGCAGTGGCTGCAATTTTTGGAGTCGCAAGTTGCAGCCGCTGCAATGATTCTCTCTTTTTCCCAGTGCCAGCTATCTTTTTGTTGCTCTTATTAGGATCTCTCTCTCTCTCTCTCTCTCTCTCTCTCTCTCTCTCTCTCTCTCTCTCTCTCTCTCTCTCTCT